ATATATATATATATGGACACACGTAACGGAATGGGTAGAGGTGTCCTGCAAATTCCGTGCAAATTGCTACCAGAATTCTCTGGAAAAGGGCAGCACCGATACATCGGTAGGCCAGCGCAAGTCAGCATAAATGCCGTATGTATATTCATTCACCACTAACGAGGCTTAGTGAAATAGAATGAACAGCTTATCCCTCAAGGAATGATCAACACCGATGGCACCTATATAAGTAAATTGTTTTTTCGTTCCTTCACAAATCTAAAAGTAATCGTTATGGTCACCTTTTATTTACTGCTTGCATTTTTATGGGAGGGTATTATGCGACAAAAAACTAAAATTATTCTGAGATATTTGCAAAACTGCAGACCGCAGGTGTCTGTAGTGGGGATCGAACTCGACATTTTTACCCTATCTGGGCGCTAACACGTTCACCACCACACCATGCGGGTCCTCCGTTCTGTTTTTCTCTTAGGCAGGTGATTGCTGATAGCACCTATAAAACACTTTTGACGAAAAGGTGAAACGAAGGACCCGTATAGTATATTGATGAAAACGTTAGCCCCTGAAAGGATAATATCAAGTTCGGTCCACACTTTAGACACCTGCAATCCAGTGTTTTGTAATTATCTCAGCATCATTATCGTAACCATTATGCTTTAGCATTTGCTATTTCGAAGCCTGGACCTAATTTGCTTCTTACTAATCTCATTTGAACTGTGTTAATTTTAGGACGAAAATCTAATAGTGGATATGAAAACAGGTGAAGTTAAAATTGTGGATTTCGGTGCGGCTGCGTTGGCCGAAAAGGCGATGAGGAAGGAGTTCCAAGGTGAGCTTCATATTCCTCAAAGGCGAAGGGGTTTGGAAGTGAGTCGGGCAAAGATGGAGATCCAAGATTCGCTTGAATTGTGATGAAGAAGCTCCCAGGTGAGCTAGAGTTGAGCAGAGATGAGCACCTCCAACAAAGCTCATTCTGCCGTTCAACAATCAGTGCGCTTCGAAATCCTTCTAGACAGGAATATGTCGATATAATATGTTAGAATCTGAGAAGTAGTTCTAATCTAATAATTTCACATAAAGAATTCTATCATACTTAATCGCTCACTTTTATACTGAAGTAAAACACGCAGATTATAACAAAACGAAGCGTAATTCCTAAAAAGCTCAACGAATCCCGTGCCTTTTTGTACCCTTCAGGTAGCTAGTTGAACTAATAGAATGCTTTTTTTTTGTTGTTTTGTAATCCTCAAAGACACTGGTTAAGCGGGTTTTACGAAGGATTTTGGTTTATTAAAATCTTGCTCTTAATTGGCTTCGCTCTCTCCCATTGTTCGAAAACCTGATCTATTTCAAGCGTTTCTTTTGCAAATGATCACTTTTGGTTGCAAATTGGGATAAAATCCTCTCGAAAGATGGGTTTTCCTTTCCAGTTTCTTGTGAATTGTATTGGAATAATTCCAATAATGTAGTGTCCACTAGAGCAATCATCGCATCCACCAATAAATTTCCAAATAATCAAGTAAATGACAACAAATCCTTCTTTACCATCCATGAGTGCTTGAAAAAACAGTTTCTTTTTTACTAGTTATAACTTTTTACAGGCACCCGATCGTACTGTCCTCCCGAGTGGTTCAGACAGTTACAGTACCTTCCATTAGAGGCTACAAGTTGGTCTTTGGGTGTACTACTATTCATTCTCGTCACTGGACAACTGCCATTTAAGAATGAGATTCAGATATGTTTGGGACGAGTAAAGTTTCCCTCCCACGTTTCAAAAGGTTATTATTTTCACGATTTTTACAGCAATAGTGGTAACAACAACGATAATAATAGACACGATAAAAGCAATACTTTTAACATGGAAACCGATATATTTTTGGAAATCTAATTGCTGAACGTGCAGAAAGGTAGTCGACATCGTTCGCTGAAGATTTCAAGAAAAGAAACTTGTTGATATGCTTATCAGGAAATTCTCGCAAAAGATTCTATGCAAAGTGCTTTTACCCGAATAATGGAAAGTTTACTGATCAACACTTTTGTTGGTTTTTAGAGTGCCGTCAATTAATCAAATCCTGCCTGACAACGTCTGCAGGTTCACGTGCAGGGTTCAACACAATCCGGCAGCACCCGTGGTTGAACAAGAAAATTCCAGTGCACAAAGAAACATTTGAAACGGTCCTAGACAGGATGCTAGGGAGAGCCCAAGGTGACTAATAAAAAGAAAATTAATAGTTACAGCTATAAACAGGAAAAGTATCGAACTGTGTCATTCATCACGAGCATATGGTTCGACACTGCTGTGGTTCCCAAGCTTTGAATTCCTCCGGGTTTGGAGACTGGCACCAAATCTCTGGGATCAGTTCGCTCCCTCATATCTACGGAGAGTCCTATTATAGCTATCTTAAGACGCCAGAGATAATCGACTCGACCAATATTCAACGATGTTCATTACAAAGATCTTAGTGGGTGATGGATGCGAAAAAACGAATAGAATGGGATCCGTGCATTAGATGTGAGGTCAGGTCATCTACACAAAAGCTATACGCACTCCTTTATAAATATAGTTGTTAGCGAACTATTGGCCAACAATAAAGCTTTTCGTTTTTTAATTAGCAAATTGGACAGAGTGAATATTGGCGGTCAAAGATGTCTTCACATATAGTGAAATGGATAGAGGGGCGTTTAGCACAGTGACTAGGGGTACCTTGAAATACACACGTCCTCCATGGTTTGATCTGGCATCGTGGGCTCACCACGCCTTCCATTCATCTGGAGTCGGCAAATTGGTACCAGACGTGCTTGAGAAGATAACAGCACTTGCTTAATAGATTCGTAGAACACCACAGGTGATTGTATAGGGTGGATATGCATTCAATTCTCTCTAATGTAGTCGAGTTCATGGCGTATAGTCAACGATTGATCAGCGCCGGAAGCAATATTGTTTTTATTTTTTAACGAAGTGGATTTCCCAGTGAAATAGAACAGCACGAATCTCGAAACGATTCACAAAACGTACAGGACATCCAGAATAAAATTTTAAAGACATATAAAAGAAATTTAATCAAATAGCAAGTAGTTTCTGTGATTCTAGAGCGTCCACCACGCACTCTGACTGAGGAAGGTCAAGAAACAGCGGATGAAGAGCGCCAGATCAACGACATAATCCTAACAGAAGACGAGACGTTCGCTTGGAAGCACAGCAGTGCGATGCACGGTGTAAGGAACTACTCGCTCCGCAACTGCGGAGGGGTGACTGGTACTGGGGCCACAGAGGGAGTGACATGTTTGTCGTCGGGTAAGTGTTTCTATGAAGCAAATGGCCAAGTGGAAATGGCTAGAACCTACGAGAGTTGTGAAGAAGACGTTCCTTGTTTCTTTACAATGGATCCAAATAACCGTTTTTAATCCGTAAAGTTTCCCGAGTAGTTGCTTCAAAGCGTCTCTCTGTATGCGTAATTCTTACGAACTGCCCTTATTGAGTTGACTTGAGGTTACATCAGTTGTTGTTGCTGTTGTTTTTATTGTTGTTGTTATTCGATGGTTATGGCTTCGGTTACTTCGCCATCTTCGGAGCCTGGACGTATTATATCTAACGATATACATATAATTTCATGAAATATTTGCAATACTAACGAAGATCTAATATATGAATGGATGTTATTTCGTTTAAAAACTACTCACCACTCTATAAGGTTTGGGGCCATCCTTATGTTGTTCACTTGGGATGACGAGTGAAACCACCCAGATCAAAAAATAATCTGAGAAAAGGCGCCAGATCACGTGTGATAGTGATGCATTCGCCTTTCTGGTTCGTGTTTGGACTTTTCAAAATTATTCAAAACGATTCAAGAACTCTGAGCGCTGACATTTTTCATTCCTGCGTTAGGATCCTAAAAGTTACTTCAAAGTCGCTTTTGTGGCCTAAGTGCATCTAGAAAAATGCTTCATCGAATCTTAAGTTTTCCATCTCGATATTCTTTTATATGTATACAAAATTATTCGCACATTTCGCCACTGTATTCATTACCGCATGCCTTACATAAGCTTAAATGCACTGTACCTGAATTCATGCAATCTCCATCTCTTCCGTTAGGGCACATAACACAATTTCTGAGCTTCGCAAACGATCGCGGAGGCGGCTGCCGATACGCTTCGCCATTTGGAAGTGCCTAAGAAGAAGTGGTCTTGAAAGTTCTCTGACAATTATCAACTTCCGACATAAAACTCTCCTCCGTCGATTGGTTCGAAACAGTCTCTATGATCGTTTGTGCAGCTCAGAAAACTGTATGATCTGTCGTAGCGGGAGAGACGAGGGTTACATACGTTCAGGAACAATATGCTTAATCTCATGTATGGGATGCGACGAAGAATACGTTGGAGAAATGGATAGACTATTTTGTGTCCGCATAAAAGAACATCTAGATGGGAATTTTGAAACGCGACAAAGCACTCCTCTAGGTATACATAGAGCACAAAAGCACAATGATGGTGATTTTGAAGTGACTGTTGTGATCCAGGCGAAAAAATCAGATACATCAACGCGCAAGACTCTTGAAGTGTTTTGGATAATTCCCATGACCGACTTCCCGAAGGTCAAAATGGTAATAGAAATCGTCTTGAAAGGTTCATCAGGGTACCATGTCTCTTAGATGGAAATCAATTTTTCGAGGACAGAGAGTACTGCCACTAGATATGGGAATGCAGAGGAAAAGCACTATTCATCCAAAGATTGACCACATTCCCACGAAAAAAGTATGGCCCCATTGATACCCCGGTAGTGGATGGACTCTGTATTGGATCCGATCAGCGCCTCTTCCGTGCGAAGATTCGCTTCAGCCATAAGCTGGAAATAAACTCCTGTCGTTGTCTAGAAAGAACAAGACAAGTCTTGTATGACGAGAGTATTCCCAATGAGCTCTTATACTAACATGGTTGGCAGATGAAAGAAGAATTGACCGAAGACTATAAGTTGCTTCTTGAAGAAGAAAACTTGTGCCAACTTTTGCCTCACTTCCTCAAACAAGAAGTTCAGACCGCATCTTCATTACCAAAGGAGTTACTCGAAAACAACTCCAGGACCCGACAATACCTCCACTTACTTCCTCAGAGCCATATAGTGACCATATAAATTACCAACGCGCATGGACGTCCTACCTAAGAAGTATATCCGAAGGGATCTTCGTAATACTCGCTAAATACGGTTGTTGGGTGCACTCCACAAGCTGTTCACAATGATTATTCTTTTACGCATATCAAGCATCTTGATAAGGCACGCTCCATCAGGGTTTTTGGTGAACGAACCACACAATATCGCTTCTAAAGTCACAAAAGTTTGCCGGTAATATCATGTGCCCCGTCTAGTCCTAAGTTTTGTCCGCAATGATAAAGTGTTTGGGAGTGTCGAAACGAACACACTCGTATCAACTTTTGTCGACGAAGGGTTGAACCCATCTTATATACGAAAACGAGCTGACTGCTACCAGAACTTTCGCATAAAAATACAACTGTTCTATCGAGACTCTTACAATTACCATAGAAAAGGGTGTTGGACAGAGGAACACTACTCCCCAAGGCTGTTCACAGCCATATTTCAGAGAAAAATGAAGTCACTCGACTGGGACGAAGAGAGGATGCATACTGATGACGAATTCTTGTAAAACCTCTTTGTCATGGATGAGCTCGTCATCTTTTCGAGTATCAGTGAAGAAGAGGCAAAGCTCGCTGAACTCAAAGAAGCAGAGAAAAAAGAGTGCACTGCGCATAAATTGAATGAAGACCCAGTTCATGAAGAACCCATGTTGCGAAAAGCAAAAAAATCGAACTGGATGGTTCTCTGATTACTGAGAGCATTCGTACGTCCTTGGACGTTCAACGTTCAAGAACATGAACATGAACATGAAAGAGGTGTTAGACAGAAAAAGAAGAGCAGTATAAGCTACATTCGAACCTCTCGAAGAAACCACCGACCAACTAACGGACCCAAAACTCCAACCTCCTCTTTTTGATTCAACGATCCTCGCAGTGCTCTGTAATGCAGCAAAAACGTGTGCTGATAGCTAATCCACGTCAAAAAATCTGCGCACCACCCATAGAACACTCGAATAATGTCTTTTGGAACTTAAGCGACATTTATAACGTCTAGCCGGAATACGCAGTTCAGGTTTTGGAAACCTACCCGTGATCCAGGAGAATGTATATTGATAGTGAGACACAGACGGCATGGTCACATAATAAAAAGAACAACTGAGGATGAATGAAAAGAATGGGGGAGTGGTCTTCAAAAAGCGCAAGTGGCGTCTTGGACGACCACTCAAATGATAGGAGGACATGTTCGTAGCTAAAGTCGACCATCTTCACTCACAGATGGGAACGATATCAGAAGTACAGAATAGGATTCGCGAATGTTATCATGTTGGATGCAGACCACCACCATGAACGATGATTGCGCGAGAGGAAAACGAAACGTCAGTATGCTAATGCCCGCACTACCACAGAAGACGGATAACGAATTATCCAGGCAGTTAAGTAAGTAGCTTTTATAAGAACCTGCTTGTGGGATAGGAAGAGAGAATGGTTGACGAGGTCGAGGTCGAAGCCCGAAAAGAAAATATTAAATGAAAAATTTCTACTATAATGCTGAGATATTTGCAAAACTCCGGACCGGAGGTGTCTGCGGTGAGGAACGAACGCGCTATTGTCCTTTCCGGGGAATAACGCGTTCACCACCACACCATGCCGGTCCTTCGTTTCGCCTGTCTCTCAGCTAGTTCCGTCAATATTTTGTATCAATACGGGTGATTGCTAATGGCAAGAATATTGATAGAACTAGCTGAGAGACAGGCGAAACGAAGGACCCGCATGGGGTGGTGGTGAACACGTTACTCCCCGGAAAGGATAATAGCGCGTTCGTTCTCCACCGCAGACACCTCCGGTCCGGAGTTTTGCAAATATCTCAGCATTATAGCAGTTATATTTCGCAAATATCCTGCCGTTAAAAAGAATAGGCAGTAAATAAAAAGGCTAAGAAAGATTTCTATCAACTATTAGCGTCTAATATAGTTCAAAGATGTTTGTACCACTAATTCGTTGACGTTTCATAGTTCCTCGGACTCGGATAGACTCTCGCTACGACAACATGTCATGTTCGTCGAATACTGAATACGTCTCGATGACAAGCATAGGCATCGTCGCACCTGAGAAGACATCGGTGATATCGGATTCGACCTCGGCAACTACAGCAACAACTAGCATTTACTACTCGACCTATGACATCAGTGAGGAAGATGAAGATGAATGGTATAATTATTTTTACTTCTCAAACATCCCATAGTAAATCGAGAGTTTAGAAGAACCATATTTTCAATTTTAACAACTAGTTCAGTGATGTTAGTTTATATATGGGGGTCTTGAACAGAATTACGGATTCGGTTATTCAGTTATTAGGTCTGTTTCGATATCCATATACGGAAGAAAAATGCCTGTTTCATTGAATACAGTCGCGGATTAAGTTATGAACATCAAACGACGCGTTAATACATTTAATTTGCTTGCTTCCTTTCCCTAGTCTAAAGTGCGTAGTGTAGAGAAAGCCAGGTAAAAATTGACCAAGTACCATTTTCAGTTCTGAGATAACCGCGAAAACGCCAGTGAAAAGCGTGTCGGCATACAATCTATCCAGCCGTACTCGTAGGCGATCGATGGTTTTCAAGCCATTCGATCGAGAACTTGACACTGTACTCGAACATACAACACCGGAACAATGGATGATGTCGTCTACAGAGTCGGAGGATGATCAGACACTTACCATGGAAAACTCAGAGATTGCAACAACAAGGAGGACTAAGCTAAATCTACCAGCTGCGACTTCACCGACACGTATATCTAGACATCGACCGTTAAAAGTTATGGTTAACAGGGCATCATTGGCAATATTCGAAGTGTCACCTTATCCATCACTAACTGAAGTAAAGTAAGCTACTGCTAATTAGGCATTTAATCCATTAAGCCGAAAATAGGTGAACATCTATAGGTCAAGATGCTAAGATATCGTTATAGTTCGTGATTAGCATTGTCATATATTGCGTAGCAAAGTTGTTCTACTACGTCGAAGACATCGTTGGACGTCTTCAACGTCATTCGCAACACATGGAGGCCATGAGAACGTTCGTATTTGAACTAAAACTCTGACATTACCATTTGTAACATAAAATTTGTTATATGTTTTATAGTCCTAGTAGATAAATTGGACAAGCACTAGTAATCGTTAGAGTCTTTCACCCCAATACGTCATCGTCCTTGGCGACATGCTTCGCCACAGCGAAATTCACTGCTCTCCTTATTCATATTTATTGTACCAGCGTGGGATAGTAGGCTTTAATAAGAATTTTAATAAGAATTTGGTAACTTATGTACCAACACTACCAACACCAGCGAACTCAATCTAATTCTGTTCACTTCACGGACGCGGTGTTGTGTGTGTGTGTGTATGTACGTATATATGTGTGTGTATATGTGTGTATATGTGTGTGTATGTGCATGTGTATGTGTGTGTATGTGTGTATGTATGTGTGTGTGTGTGTGTGTGTGTCTGTCTGTCTGTGTGTGTGTGTTTACGTCTGCGAACATTATAACATTAATCTGGAATTGTAGCGAGTAGAACACGAATATTGTGTGAGAGTTGATTGCTTGGAAAATGCATTTCGACGAGTTTTCAAGCACAAAAGTGCTTTCGTTGTGGTTTTACCGGCGACTGGCTGATTAACTTGGTATTTCAATAAATGTAAAGTCGTTACAAATGTATATGTGCAGCAGCGTATGTGTAGATCAGAAACGATATTATAGAGATGCTTCATTATATTGAGCTTTTTCTAACCTGTTATTAGTTACTTTCCGGTCGAACGTTGTTAGGCAAGTAATCCTTAGAAGTTTAGCGCATATGTGCTCTCTTCCGAAATAACATTATCCAGTAGAAAATCGACGGTGCCGAAACACATATCTGTTCTGTTTCCAAATAACATTATCCAGTAGAAAATCGACGGTGCCGAAACGCATATTTTCTGTCTCCAAATAACATTATCCAGTAGAAAATCGACGGTGCCGAAACGCATATTTTCTGTTTCGAAATAACATTATCCAGCAGAAAATCGACGGTGCCGAAACGAATATTTTCTGTTTCCAAATAACATTATCCAGTAGAAAATCGACGGTGCCGAAACACATATCTGCTCTGTTTCGCAATAACATTATCCAGTAGAAAATCGACGGCGCCGAAACGCAAATTTTCTGTTTCCAAATAACATTATCCAGTAGAAAATCGACGGTGCCTAAACACATATCTGCTCTGTTTCGAAATAACATTATCCAGTAGAAAATCGACGGTGCCGAAACACATATTTTCTGTTTCGAAATAA